CATTGTATCATTTCTGGGAAATCTCAGTGTCTCCATGATAGGTAAGTTATAGTCACATGGTTCTAATTTCCATTTCATATTTTTGTAATAGTCCAGAAAAGCTGTTTTATCTTTTTGTCTTCATATAAATCAGGGAGAATAAACTTACCAGAGCAAGCTAAGGAGCTTCTGACATGAAACCTGTAGTAAATCCGTTGCTTTGTTGTTGTTTTTTTTGTTTGTTTTTTTTAGTTTTTGTCTTTGGTCTGACAAGACACATGCGAGCTGACAGTGCCAAACAGAGAGACCACTTGTTCCTCCAGCTGCTGTCAGCAGACGATTGACTTGCCCCCCAACCGCCAGCCCGAGCCCATTTTGATTTTCTGCAAAGACAGGGAAGCTTACATGCAGACAAAACATCCCTTCTCTCCTGCAGTGTTATTTCAGCTTCAGCCCAGAACAGTTTTGGTTCTACAACGAGATCGATGTGCATGCATGTATTCCACAAGCAAGTGCGTGGTTATATGGGCTATGTCTGGACATGCCATAGGGATTCTGCAAGGAAATTTACTCACAAAGTAAATCATAGATTTACTTACTATGAGCTTCTCTTAATATAAGTTGCAAGTAACACGCTCAAAATTCCCATATATCTATTTATCTGCCCGTCCATCCATCTTTATATCTTATCCTCAAAGGGTTATGTAGTAATATTAGTACCCAGAGAAAACTAAGTTATGCAAGAGGACAAAGACGTCAACATTTCCCTTCAAAGACACTCCAAACAATCAGAAGGGGAACTTGAACTTGATCTTTTTTTGTTTGTTTGTTTTTGCTAAAATTAATTCTCTACATGTGAAAAGTGCAAGAGACAAACCCATGAACATTTACAAATGTAATTGAGACAAAAGAGAGTTCTACAAAAAAAATATTTATTCGAGGGGGCTAAACACATTTGTTCACAATACTTAAAAATTTTGTAAAAAAAAAAAAAAAAAAAAAAACATCAGAAAAAAAAAAAATCCAAAAAGAAGAAAAAGGGGAAAAACAAATTTTTTTTTTTTA